GACGCCGTCCTTTTAGACGTCGTCCTCGACGTCGTTTTTGAGGTCGTCCTCGACGTCGTCCATGAGATTCCCCTAGAGGTCGTCCTAGAGATCATTTGAGACGTCGTCTTTGACATCATCCTAGACGTCATCCTATGGTAGTCTTTCAAATCGCCCTAGAGGTCGTCCTAGAGGTCGTCCATGAGATTCCCCTAGAGGTCGTCCTAGAGATCTTTTGAGACGTCGTCTTTGACATCATCCTAGACGTCATCCTATGGTAGTCTTTCAAATCGCCCTAGAGGTCGTCCTAGAGGTCGTCCATGAGATTCCCCTAGACGTCGTCCTAGAGATCATTTGAGACGTCGTCTTTGACATCATCCTAGACGTCATCCTATGGTAGTCTTTCAAACCGCCCTAGAGGTCGTCCTAGAGGTCGTCCATGAGATTCCCCTAGAGGTCGTCCTAGAGATCATTTGAGACGTCGTCTTTGACATCATCCTAGACGTCATCCTATGGTAGTCTTTCAAATCGCCCTAGAGGTCGTCCTAGAGGTCGTCCATGAGATTCCCCTAGAGGTCGTCCTAGAGATCGTTTGAGACGTCGTCTTTGACATCATCCTAGACGTCATCCTATGGTAGTCTTTCAAATCGCCCTAGAGGTCGTCCTAGAGGTCGTCCATGAGATTCCCCTAGAGGTCGTCCTAGAGATCATTTGAGACGTCGTCTTTGACATCATCCTAGACGTCATCCTATGGTAGTCTTTCAAATCGCCCTAGAGGTCGTCCTAGAGGTCGTCCATGAGATTCCCCTAGAGGTCGTCCTAGAGATCATTTGAGACGTCGTCTTTGACATCATCCTAGACGTCATCCTATGGTAGTCTTTCAAATCGCCCTAGAGGTCGTCCTAGAGGTCGTCCATGAGATTCCCCTAGAGGTCGTCCTAGAGATCATTTGAGACGTCGTCTTTGACATCATCCTAGACGTCATCCTATGGTAGTCTTTCAAATCGCCCTAGAGGTCGTCCTAGAGGTCGTCCTAGAGGTCGTCCATGAGATTCCCCTAGAGGTCGTCCTAGAGATCATTTGAGACGTCGTCTTTGACATCATCCTAGACGTCATCCTATGGTAGTCTTTCAAATCGCCCTAGAGGTCGTCCTAGAGGTTGTCCTCTACGACGCGACGTCGTCCTCAATACCGTCCTAGCAAGCAGATAAACCTGCGCCGCGCATAACCGGAGTGGCAGTGCATTTATTCACATTTCCGCCCAAGCTACGACTCAATTATCGGTTTTGGTTGAGTTAGTTGTTACATGGTCGATAATGGTAGCGAAACAGCACGAACATTAAACGATTGCACAAATACAGGAGAAGACACACACGAAGCTCCGGGATGGTGGAGCTTGAACCGTAAACGATTACGCAGGTACAGAAGATTAAACGATTACACAACGACGAAGCAACCTCAATATCAGTGTGCCGCTCTGCAGTAGCGCTGAAGTCAATGATTGTGTTGTGAACCATTGATAAAATGAAGTATTTACTTAAATTTTTCGTCCTCGTATTCACAGTGAACTTCGTTGTGAGTATCATAACGAATGCTATATCAATTTATCAACAACACACAATACTGCTTTCTCCAGGCAATGTTTAACCCGACACTGGGCCACAAGAAGAAACAAAATAAGAGAGAAACAGAAAGTAACAGGGACAAACAACGTCTCTGTATCAGCTGACAGTTTTATTCAAAAAACGCTCCTTATATATAGACCCTACGTATGCCACAAAACCAACAAAAACATTATTTTTCAAGGTCGCGTACACGACAATTTCCCCCCACAACACAAAACACAACCACCTTTAAGTTTAGAACTAAAACCAAATATGATTGTGGTATTTTGTGTTGTGGTTGAGGACCGTGCACGCGACCCTAAAAAAGAGCGTTTTCCGAGTTTTTTTTGGTGGTCGTAGTTCTGTATATAAGTAGGGTGGTTTAATAAAATTATCAGATGAGCTAGAGACGTTGCTTGTCCCCGTTATTTTCACTTCCACAGTAAATTAGTTTTCTCCTGCTGCCTCAATGTCGGATTAAAAAAACATCATGGTAGCCTTGGTTGATACTATCATTAATGTCCGCATTAAAAATGAATGGTCTCAATATGTTTTCTCGTTTAACACCTGACGCAATATACCTTACAGTGAAATAATGTCCATTCATGTTAACCTATTTCTAGCGGTATTGTTGGTATCACTGCAATAGCAGTAGGACATGTCCGCGAATGCCATAAATTTCTAGATATTGTAATAATCGATCGGGAATAACACAGTCAATTTCTTCTGTAAAATCTAGGAAAGCCCATGGAACTAATTTTTATTTTCATGCTTTTCTATAATAAACTTCTTTTTATCGAGTCTCTGTTGAACGGTTTTTTATAAAACCAAATTTCGATGACGTTATGAGGTAACATTTGTTCGAAGTCTATTAAACGGTCCTAGAGTAACTTTTGCAAAGCTTAGGAAAATACGCGCAATATAAAATAGGTCCATATTTACCTAACTGATTTTTTTTCTAATTCCTGTACATTACAGAAACATTCGCTGCTTGCAGTTTTTTGGTACACACACAAGATCCAACAGAATGATGAAAAATATAGGTTAACACGAGAGTGAAAAGGTCAGAAACGTACTTAATTGGGAAAATTTGCATTCCATCAGGATCACAGATACCGCTATTTTTAGGTGAACAATCACATTAGTTATTTCTGAAATACCACTTGGTTAGAAAAAATACATTTGCAGGTTCTTTGAGACATATATTTGCAAAAAGCCATTAGTATCGGCACTACCAGATATATTTACGAAATATTCATGAAACACATTTGCCCGAATCTCGGCCGGTTAAACTTACACCCGCATACTGCACAGTGTAGATGGTATTCGGTACAGGAACCCCCTGAACCATCGAACCGAGATGTTTACATTCTCCGTCAGTTCGACAACTTGCAGGCAAAAAGAGAGGAGTATCATTTTTGTTTTTTTGCATTCTTTTTTTTTATTAGGCTTGTCCGGTGAGACTCTTAAATTCCTTAACATATCCGAATCGCGCCTCTTGATGAAACGTTTATATAGTGCATCTTTCTCACAAAATTGTTTTGACTCAAACTGAAGGTTACACACGGTTTACGAATTTTTTCTTCTGGATTTCTATGAAAATTGTAATGTTTATGCAGCCTGTGAAAGTGCCTTAGAAAAAGTTATAGGCATCATGAACAGTTTTCTGCGCAAGTACCGTATCCCAAACAATAGCTGCAATATACCGTCTAAAAGCATCGAGGATATTTTTGTCTATATTTTGGAAAACCGCAGATTGGTATTTCTTTAACTTTCGAGATATATTAAGGTTTACACTCAACAAAATGAGAAGAAGGCCACTCAGGTCACAATTGTTAACTCCACTGATCACTCGATCTGTATAAAATTAGTTATAAGTAAATCTAAAACAGATTTAGACTGTAAGGTAATCCTTATGGGAATGACTATCGTGTTCACACATCCTCACATGCTAACTAATTTCTTTATTTCCATTTTTGAAGCACTGTCAGAAAACATATCAATGTTGGAACCAACCCCGATAATTGACGTTATATGGACTTTCATTTGGAAAAAAAAAAAAAACTAAAAATATAAACAAGGATGGCATGCTACCGTCCGGTGGGAAACACAAGACAGCAAGAATATTTTGATTGCTACGTAAGCAAGACATTTCTACGTCTTTTATCATAAAAGAATATTCGCTTAGTAGCTCACACTCAATATTGTTTCTAATAAAAATGGCAAATCCTCCGTCGCGCTTTTGAGGTGCGATTTAAAACGTGGGCATCATGGGAGGGTAAGTGAAAAACATTTCTGAGTCATCGTCAAACCCATTGTAGGTAAAAAAATATGATATCACAGAAAACGCCGTACCGATCAAAAATAAATTATATATCTGTTTTGTAGCGAAGCTGAATATGACTCGTTGGTATGATTTTCTTGTGTCAACGTCCTCATGGGAAAAAAAATCCTTTAGCGATTGAAGCGAAAAGTGTATATATCAAGTGTACAACAGCAGCACAACATTCGTTTCGATAAAAAAAACAAAAAAAAAAAACAAAAAAAAGCGCAGAACACGCATCCGAACCAGATAATTGTTGATAAGGCGCTCCTGCTAACAATGCGAAGCACGTATAGCGCTCACCGCGTTCGTTTCACGGTAAAGATTACTGTTGCGCAAGCTGCCGCGGCGGTTTGCGCAACTGCAAATATGTATTTGTCTGACATATACATAACACAAGGAAAATAAAAGCTTTTTTTTTCGACCGCTAGTTTTTAATAAATTAATTATTACATGAAACATATCAAAGGTCAAAGTGCCCCTCCACTTTCACGCCTCATTTCGTGTGACATTACGAGGACCCCCTGGCTTCCCGTTGGGTTCTTTCTTCAGAGCCCCCAGCCACTCCCTCCTAGATATTAACTCTTCAAGGATTAGCATCGTCGAAATTCACGGCGAGTGATATCAAGACAAAGGAAGGTCCGCCATTGGGCTGACATCAAGTGTAGCTGCGAATGGGAACCGATTTTTTTTTTCCTAAATATTCCAGTGACGCGAAACCATACGTGCCCGTGACCGCCACACGCAACTGCAAATCCGTTTTTTTTTTTTTTTTTTTTTTTTTTTTGCGATGCCGAAACTGAATAGCAGTTTTTCGGGGAAATGTGGCGGGTTTTTTGTCACTTGTGACTAATTAAACAAATTGAAATAAAAAAATACAACCTGAGCATTCTTTCAACGTTAAGATCGTTGCACTGCCCCTTTAAAGTTACTCTGGTAGAATGTGTCGCAACGCATGCTACAAGCTCTCTAGCCTATCAGTGTGTCAGACGCTGTCATGCAACATTGGGATGCATGTATATGGGGCCCAACCATGTATGCAGAACTGCGCAATGCTTCTAGACAAGAGCTAAGCTGTGCCCTTCTTGTTTTAGGTGACGACACCAGCAAAGAAAATTCAGTTGGACGCCCCGCGCCCGCAGCCTTTCGGCTTCGTGCAGCAGCGCCTGGAGCACGGAACATTCCGTCACTGCTCTGGCATCGGCAGCCACAGCACGTGCAAGTTCGGCGGGCCACTGCGCGAGTGCCGCAGCAGATACTGCGGCACCACGAGCGGAGCTTCGTCGCCTACATAAGCGCCGACCGCACAGCAGCAAAGTGCAGACCAGGGGAATGCATCTAGACAAGAGCTAAGCTGTAATTTTCCTGCTTTAGGTAAGCTTGGTTTAAACAAACTACGTTGCGAGTGAGTGTACGTGTTTGCACTTCGCTAGTCTGTCCCCAGTGTTCGTATACTGCATAAGACCGACACGTTGGGACAAAAGGAATGCCTTGCATTTCTGAAATATTTGCTGCCCGAGGCAATCTGTACGAAGTGCTCAGAATGCGAAAACGCATGTTATATTGGGAAGTGCTGGGGAATAACAAAACATGCAATGAAGGCAATGTCGTCTGGGAGTATTAAAGTATGACTGTGGAATAAATGCCAGGTGCATGCTACCCGTCAGCCTACTCCGTCCGACGATCATCGCCCCAAACGGGGGCATAGGACAGCTTCAAGCGGCTGATCAGGAAAAAGCTCTAGACAAAATATTGCATCAAAATTAGGACATACTCAAAAGACTGACGGCGATCCTAAGCAGGCTGCACTGCATGAAAAAATCTTTGGAAACAGTACAAAAGGTGATGTCGTCTTGATAACGTTGTATCAGCATGTGAAACAGTCAAAGCAATTGATACTTCCATGAACCTCTTGTCAGCAAAGTATGAGGCATTTCTTTTTAGACTGGAAAATCAGAGCGCTACAATTAAAAGAGCTAACAAAGCGGAGAACTGAAAACTAGAGTAACTCAGCAGGATCTGCAAATTCGAAGCTTAAGAACAGCGGTGAAGAAAGCAGAGCAGTACCCCGCGCAAGAACATAAAAAGTCATGGAATCGCACAACATGCAAACGAAACTGTTTTATAAATTGTACAAGATTTAGTAGACAAAAACTAGAATTTTCAGAGGTTGCCTGAGAAAACACTGAATCTACTCACAGACCCCTGGCAAGGGAAGAAAAATGAAAGCCGTTTACAACTCGCAGTAACGCAGAATTAGAGCGCAGCTCTTGAGGAGGAGGAGGGAAGGGCACTGGGGGGGTGGGTCAAGTGACCTCGGGTGGCGGGGGTCACGTGACCTTGGGGGGTCACGTGACAATTCTGATGACGTCATCAGTGACGCCCTCAGTGATGATGACGATGACGATGCGGATGCCGGTGAGGTCACTAATGACGTCATCAGTGATGATGACGATGACGATGACGATGCCAGTGACGTCAACCGTGACGTCACTGATGACGTCATCAGTGGTGATGACGTCACGGGGGTCACGTGACCTCGGGGGGGGCGGGTCACGTGACCTTGGGAGGGGGGTCACGTGACCTGGGTAACCATCGTGACTCTCGTGAGGGTAACCCTAGTAACCCACGTGAGTGTAACTCTCGTGAGCCTCGTGAGGGTAACTCTCGTGACCCTCGTGAGGGTAACTCTCATAACCCTCGTGAGGGTAACTCTCATAACTCTCGTGACCCTCGTGAGGGTAACCCTTTTGAGGGTAACTAACCCTCGTAACCCTCGTGAGGGTTAAGGGTTAGTAACCCTCGTAATCCTCGTGAGGGTAACCCTCGTGAGAGTAACCCTCGTAACTCTCGTAACCCTCACGAGGGTTACAAGGGTTACTCGCGGTTACGCCGACGCCGACGGCGACGCCGCTCAAGCCGGGAACGGGCGCCTAAGGGTTGCGTTCTAAAAGCAGCTCCACTTCTTGTGATGTTTGTAGAAATAAGAACGACAAGGACCTCTAAATGACGAAACGCGTTATTTTTCGGAGCGAAAACAAATTACGTTCACGAGAAGCTTACGAAAGCATTCAAAGCTTTACTGTGGTCTACTAGGGATTGTGCAAAAGCAGAAGTATACGAGTTTGTGTGGGTAAAATATCGTAAGATTTTTGTTAGGCAAATAGAAGCCACCGGTGAAGTTTGCATTGAGTGTGAAAGGGCTTTAGGTAAAATAACGTAGCAATGAATAAGACTTTCAAGTCCGTCTAAGGTTGATAACCTTATACCACACACTTACTAATAGAAAACAATAGCGAGGAAATAAAACTCCATTTTATACGTGCGAATGCTAGAACTGTACGTAAACACTGCGACGAACCCCGGATGTACTGATTTTATGCGAAATTAACGCCGAAGAGGAGGTGTGCGTGGAATTTACATTACTCGAATTTCATTTTTGCTTTGAGTGCCGAGATAGAAGGAGGGGGGGGGGGGGGGGGAGGTTTGATAGTGTAAGTGAATAATGGTTGTTTCACTAAAAATATTACTGTTTCCTTTGATTACGCAGAAGTTCGCGCAATTTATGTTCACAAAGCATCGACCTCATATACTATTTGCGCAGTCTGTCAGCCCCTAATTCAAATGAACACATGTTCTTTGATGAATTATCAGCCTTAATACGCAAAATTGATTACAACAAACACTTTATGCTGGCTGGTGATTTTAATATATATGTTTTAAATGAAACAAAGTATGGAGTTTCAAAATACTTAGACACCAGGGTTGGGCAGTATCGCGATATAAATCTATCGCGATAGTATTTCAGAAATACAAGGTGTCAGAAAAGAAAATGTACAGGGTTTTTATTTCCGCAAAAATAAACTAGGCATCGCCAAACGCTCATTCTCCGCCCAAAGGTAGCGCTAGTGGTCACAACCAGATACCAAAGTTTCAGCCCGATCCGATAACTTAATCAAAAGTTATAAGTGATTTTATGAAAAGTTCAATGGGAAAATGGAGCCCATTTTTGCCCGTTTTCGGTTTCTGGTGCCCATAGAGCCCCATGTATTCGAAAACTTCGTCGGCCGCCATTTTCCCATTGAACTTTTCAGAAAATCACTTATAACTTTTGCGTCGGTGCGGAGGTTCGGTAGGAAGGACCTTCACAACAAGGATGCCACCGTATCGTTTTATCAACCCTAACAGAAGATATGTGTTCCAGGATGCTTCAGCTGGCCCACTATTCTCGAAAATCCCAAATGACACTGCCTGCATGATCTTCAACGAGGTACCGTGCAACAAAAGCACGTATTGTCCTTTCATACAACAGCGCGGTAAAGTTTCATGTTCAAGGCCACACCTACAGACAAAGAATACCAGTTCATTCCACCCTGACGTCATGCGATAAATGTTGACAGGGGCGTCCTTATTGGACAGGGGCATGGTGACATTTTGATGAAATTTAGGATGACATAGAATTTGTATAGAGGTCGAAGTCTTTTCGCATACCTCGTGAGACAGACAGGATGTCAGGAAGGGACCGCGCAATCAGTCTTTGAAGGAACGTTTTTTTTTTTTTTTGTTTTTTTTGAGCCCACTGAAGACTACTCGTCGTCCGAAATCACTACCTTCAAGGCAAAGTGCCAAGCCCACGGGAAAGTAATTTCAAAATCAAAAACTTCCACTTCCAACTTCAAGCTTCATGTTATTTGGCGTCTCAAACAAATTAAAAAAAAAAGGTATTGCAGTATCAGTATTTCTGTATTTGTATTTCTGCCCTCCCTAAAATGTATTCCTGTATTTGTATTTCCAAATACTTGTTGCCTCTATTTAAAATGTACTTCCGATACGTATCGCGATACACTTTTACAGATATATATCAGTATCAGTATTTTAGCTACTATTTTAATGTATCCCAGTATTTGTATTTCCAAACATATTCTTGAGTATTTCTGCCCAACCCTGTTAGACGTCCTCTCCTCTTTGAGCCTCAAAAATAAGATAAGCGACTACACGAGAGAAGAATATTACAGAAGCACAATCGCGAAGTCGCGTATCGATCGCATAGTAAGTAGAATTAACAATGCGACGTTAGTTCCTACTGTAATTAAACAGGAGGTAGACGACCTTACTTCACAGTAGTTTACATATTTGGTAAAAGCCAAATAAATGACCTATCCAAGCAGAATGCATTTAAAGCCATCTTAGATAACAAAAAAGATGGACCATCGAATCAGCACATTGGTAGGCGATCTTCTTAATGCTTATAATTTACTGTAAGGTGAATTTAAAATAAATAGATATGAATGTCTTTAGAGAACGTAAAAGTATAGCAGAAAAACACGAGATAATGTTTAGATTAATGAGGAGGTTTTATGGCTATGCCATCTGAACGATAGATTATGGCATATATGCAAATGAAATCTTGAGGACATTCATATTAAAAATAGCGCAAAAGAGACGGGACAAAAAGACGAAGAAGCACACAGGACAAACGCTAACTGGCAACTTAACTTTATTGAAAGCTTCCAACTTTGCTATCGCCATGCACGTGCTTAGTCTCGTGCACGAGACTAAGCACGTGCATGGCGATAGCAAAGTTGGAAGCTTTCAATAAAGTTTAGTTGCCAGTTAGCGTTTGTCCTGTGTGCTTCTTCGTCTTTTTGTCCCGTCTCTTTTGCGCTATTTTTAATATGAATGTCCACTACCAACTTGCCCAGCAGACCAAGCTTTTACAAATCTTGAGGATTTTGCTCTGAATTCCATGAACTACAAAATAAGCTAACTGCGAACATTAGGCTAGCAAAACAATCATTATATGACAGAATTCGCTTCTACATGAAACCCAAGAAAAACGTGGGATATCGGGAATGAGTTGGTTAGAAGAAAACGAAAAAAAAAATACTGACATACAACCTAGAATGACTTTTCCGAACTAAATGACTGTTGGGAGCTAGCGAAATTCTTCAGCAACAGTTTCATCAGTACTGTTCAAGCCTTAAGGTAGGGCTCAATGCTGCCCAGACGCGATTAACTGGATGACCAAAATGATTTCCCCAATTCCGAATATTGATCAGAAATAAATTAGCGCAACCTTATCAATATAATTCGTTCAATGTCAATTATGGAAGTGCCCGGAATCGATTAAATGCCTCTTCGACATATACGCTATAAATTTCTAAGGCTTAAAGTAGTCATTCTTGCGATAGTTAACAGATGCCTGACGGCAGGGGAAATTCCGAAAGTTCTGAAAATATCGGTAGTAAGACTGTCATATAAAATAGGCAGTAAAAAAAACTTGGAATACATTTTAGCGCTCAAAACACAAGGACACAAAGACGAGAATCAGACACCACAGTGCGCAACTAACAACTGATTTTATTACATGTAAC